ACCGGTGCTGGGTTGCTTGCCTTGGTGTTAGAGACCTGGAGAGGGAAGGTCACAGCTGTAACAGCATGAAGGGATTGTCAGGGCCTCAAAGGCAGCCAGAGGAGAACCTAGGATTTGCACTCCTTCCTGTGATAATGAGGAAAGGCAGAGACCCAGAGGCTCTCCTCTTCCTGGCAGGGAAGGAATTCTGTTCTAGTGACCTGCTGAGCGTTTCCAAACCCAGTGTGTGGTGGTCTGCACGGTGGGGCCTTGACTTCAAGTCCTGTTGCAGTGCTCATCCTGCTGGAAACTTCCCTTTCCTTAAATCTCATTGAGGTTATTTTAAACTGGAGTGCAATTTAATTGTGAAATCCTATGACAAAAGATACAAGCTGATGATGAGTTGCTTAGGGTTAGGAAATGTTTCCCTCTCTCCTCTCTGAGATGGTGGGAGTATTTCATAATTAGCCCTTTGTGCAAAACTTGTATTTTCGTTTGAAATAGGTGGTGGTTCTTGCTGTCAAAAGCAGCACGGAAATAGATGGAAGGATGATATAACCTAGCAGCCTGCAGACTTATCTGTGTATCTCTCCCTGGTACATATTTATAACGGTTGAAATGTTGTTTGAACTTAAGCTTGGAAACAGTCAGAATAAATGTGTTAAGGATGATGGTTACCACTTATTTTTGCTGTTACTTTACTCTTTCCTCCCAGCATGTGGTGGAAACAGGCTTTGCCTGTTTAATGACGTGAAGGGTCATGCTATGTGCAGTGGTATGTGGAGCCGTGGGGTGTGTGCGATGATACTCGCACAATGCCCCAGATTACGGTATCTCAGCCTAGCAAAGGAGAGCTCTTTGTGTGTTTAACTTCCCATGTAACTATGCTTGTTTTCAAGTTCATCACAGGGATGTTAAAATGTAGGCCTGACGTCATGCGAGACCTGTACAGTAGAACAAGCTAGAGCACTCTCCCTGTTATCTGTGATGGCATTTGGATTGTACCATTCCCTGACTTGCTTCAGTTTGTTAAATCCTTTGCTCTATTCTCTCTCTTTAGGCCCTTGGCTGTTTACTGTACAAGCTGTGTTACTTCACCTTGCCGTTTGGGGAGAGTCAGGTGGCAATCTGTGATGGCAATTTCACCATTCCAGATAATTCTCGGCACTCGCAAGACATGCACTGCCTCATCCGTGAGTGTCTCTGACAGTGGCATAATCTACTTCCCCAGAACTAAAAGAAATAGCAGAGGTGTTTTGTTCTTATATTCCCTGCTCCTACAGTAGAACCATTGGTGTTTCTCTTCTTTTAAGAGACTTACTTGTGCGCAGGGGTGGTTTAAAGTGATCTTTTAGTACCTTAGGAGATCACTCTTCGAAAGACAGCTATGACAAAGACATTTCTATTTGGCTAGGCTGTATTGAACTCTGAGGAAAGGCAGGAAAACAGACAACCATTTGGTCTGAGTCCTACAGAAACTTGCACAATAAGCCTATTTATGAAGAAACGTATTTCTCCAGTAATAAATCTATTTGGATAAGGAACTGAAAGGAACCACAGTGACTTAGACTAGCGATAAGAATTCATCTTCTGTGAATTGAGAAACAGAACTGAAATGATTTATAAATAGCCCACTGACTAGAGCGAATGTGTAATTAAGGGTACAATGCACTACTCTTGGCAAAGCTGGGGCAGCTCTCTTGTTTTCAGCACAGCATTTGATTATTTTTTTTTTTTCCCTAGCCACAATCTTGACTAACAGAGTTGGATGTGTTTGCAGAGCAGCCTGGTATTTTCTTTGCTTCTGTGGTGGTATATGTGCAGTGGTATATGTGGCTGGCCTGTCTTCCTGCCCCACTGACGCACCGGGGTTGGATCAAGCTCTTTGCCTGCGGGTTCACTTGGAAATGCAGAAGTTGAAATCAGTGCTATTCCCTGACCAGGCCGGCTGCATTTCCCCTCCTTGCCCTAGCACCTTTGATAGCAGCTACAAATTGTTCATAGCTGTAATGGAAAATGTGTCTTAGTCTGCCCTGTCTGTCTGTCTTGCCCCTTTCTCAGCTGACCCTGATGATCAGCTCAGCCCTGCTGACCACTGACCAAGTGTGTTGAAAGAGGCAGGGCACCTTGTTACCCTCTGGTTATACCAAATGTAGAATCATAGAATGGTTTGGACTGGAATGGACCTTTAAAGGTCATCTAGTCCAACCCCACTGCAATGAGCAGGGACCTCTTCAACCAGATCAGGTTACTCAGGGCCCCATCCAGCCTAACTTTGAATGTTCCCAGGGACCAGGGTATCAACCACCTCTCTGGGCAACCTCTGCCAGTGTTTCACCACCCTCAGCATCAAAAATGTCTTCCTTATATCTAGTCTGATACACTGCCATGAATGACTCACATGAATTTGTCTGTTCTATTGCTCTGATGTTAGCATCTCTGTCTTTTAAAGGGTATATGCTTGAGCCAGACCCTGATAAGAGACCTGATATTTATCAGGTCTCCTACTTTGCGTTCAAATTGGCAAAGAAGGAATGCCCAGTCCAGAACGTTCAGGTGAGTAGCAAAGGAGTGGACTGATGTAGGGCTTTGTGGGAGGAGAGTCAGGGTGGCAACTGCTGAATATTGAGCATTCTGCTGTATTCTGTTGGTTGTTCCCAGCTCTGTAATTAGGAGCATATTTTTTTATTAGCAGTACTGTTTGTGTGTTTTGTGGGGGTTTTGGTGTTTGGGTTTTTTTTTTTGGGGGGGGGGTGGTTGGGGGCAGGAATTAAAGTTTTGTTTCATATGTTGTTTATTTCTGTTTGTCCCTGATTTACCTCCTCACCCAGTTACTAGTGTGAGGCAAACCAAGAGACCTTGTGCTTGTGAACGTGGAAAATTAGGCCATGCTTGTGAAACTGATTTGGTTTCCAGGCATGTTCATCATAGCGTGTGTAATTTGTGCTGCAGTTGGTTTTAAACATAGCAGATTTGTGTCTGCTGTCTGGCTGGGACTAGCCAACTTGCATTTGAACTACATCAGACCTTACACAACCATCTGCCCCTTCTTAGTGTATCTTTATAGACTTCAATTGAAAAATAGTTGACAAGTATTTTCATATGGTGTTACGGGCATCTGTGACATGATCTTTTGTTTTGTGGTTTCAAGGTAAGAAGAATAAACTTTTTTTTCCCCCTCCATGTTCAGGTGGTTATTTATGGTCTTTTTGAAAAAGACATGGTTTTGGTACTATTATGCCTGTATTTTTTTATTGCAGTATTAGTAAGTATTGTTGTTATTGTCCCCAGGTTGTCTTTTAAAACCACCCAGGCTGTGCTATGAAGGTTTGTGTTCAGATTCCACATGTAGTCAATGGTCAAAAAAGCTGAACCATATTTTTCCCTTGCAAAGACTCTCCCAAACTCCTGTTTCCTCATGACATTAACATTCAGGGGTTTGTCCTGTGTCCAGCATGAGGAATGACTGCTTTGGGGATCCCCCAATTTCCCTGTTTGATTATGATGTTTTTGCAAATTATTTCTGACTCAAAATATAAAATTTGATGTTTTGGGGATCTGCAGAACTCTCCAATCCCTGCTAAACTCCCAGACCCGGTTAAAGCAAGTGAAGCTGCTGCAAAGAAGAGTCAACCAAAGGCCAGGTAACCATATCTGCATTATGCTCAGCTCTCTCTTTTTATTATCTGTTTTCTTTCTGCTGTTTATTAGGAAAGATGCTTGGTATATTTAGCTGCTTCCTTATGGGCTTACATTTACATGTGGAGACAAACACTGCAGTCCTGAGGCTTCTGCTTCAATGACATAAATAATCATTGATCTCATTGATCTGAAAGGCAGAAAATGCAGATATTAGGAGAAATCTTTCTGCATGGGGGGAAGGGGTGGGACTTGGACGATACTCAGCGTGACTCAATAGCGAGGCTTTTTTGTACTGAAGACATTACTTGACAGCAGCACTTGAAGTTGGTGCACTTAGATGAATCTAGTGTGTCATCCATCCGGAGGCAGTACCCAGAGCACCTGAGAGCAAAGTCAGGAGAAAGACTGCAGCTGGCCTGCAGTGAGCCTGGAATTGGCCCAAAGAATGTGAGTCTGCTGAGAAACCACATCAGGGACTATCACTGTTTGAGTTTGACCCTTGGCAGATGATAACCTGCCCCAGTAATTACTGTATGAAATTGCTGTGATTTCTGCAAGAGTCCTGTAACTTTTTCTGGGGGGCACACGAAAGCACAAGCCGTCTCCATCTGAAGAGCTCGATTAGTGGGGAAACCACTGTACTGCTTGGTTTTTCTCCTCTCCTGCTGCTGCTTGCTCTGCTGATGATACTGTAATTGAGACTTGTAAATTCTGTTGGACAAAACTTGTACATTTTTAGCGCAAAGTGAGCAGTACAGCAGTGGGCACTCCAAACCCAGCAGTTTTCTTCAGACTCTGTAATAGGGTGTCTCTCCTCCTGTCTGTCAATCCCAGGGGTCTGCTTTGTTTGTCTTTATAATTGAGTGCAGTTACTCTCATATCAGTAGAACAACTTGATATCTAACAAGCAAATGTATCCACAGAAGGGCAGGATGGTGTCTGGCTGCTTGGCTCTGTTGCTGTGCGTTTTTGGAGCTCAGTATGTGTTGAGCAGAGATCAGTAGAGGTCCAATGACCTGATTCTGGGGTAGATGTGCTAAAGTTAAGGTACTTCTAAAGATGGCAATTTAGACAACTCAGCCCAAAGGTACCAGCTGCTCTGAAGCTAATTTGTTGTCCTTCATCTGCTTGTCCAGAACTCTAAGTGGATTTAAACAATATGTTGTAGCAAATATTTGAATGAATTGAGTGATTCTGACAAGTTCCAGCTGTCCAACAGAAGAAGATGCCACAATTGGCAAAGAAGTCAAAATGATAGTGTTGATTAACTGTTGTGAATGCATCCATTAAATTTTACTGTGCATGCAGTTTTCTGGAAAGAGTTGATGTGCGTCTGGATGCCCACAAGTGTTTCACCTTTATCAGTCACGTACTGCTAAAATATGGATGAGTTTTTAAACTCCTACTGTGTGTTGCATGCATCAACTATCAGGCTGACAAAGGCTGTGCTTTTACTGCTCTTTCTTTTATTCCTTACCCTTTTTTGTAGGCTGACAGATCCCATCCCTACGACAGAAACTTCCATAGCACCCCGCCAAAGACCTAAAGCAGGACAGACACAACCCAACCCTGGAATTTTACCCATTCAGCCAGCCCTGACGCCTAGGAAGAGACCCACGGCTCAAGCAGCCATTCAGCCACAAGGTAAAACGGTGTTCCCTGTGCGGTGCCTTCCTGCCAGGCACTGTGTACCGCAGGGCCTTGGTGCACATTGATCTATCGAATCTGTCTTCTTTTTTTCCTTCCAGTTGCAGGACCTGCTGCCCTGGGCAGTGGTCAGCCTTCGCTTCCTGCAAGTGTCCCCCAGCAAAAAGCAGCACCTCAACAGACTCCGGCACAGCCACAAGCCAAGCAGGTGCCAGCTCCACAGCAGGCCTCGCAGGCTCAGCCCCAAGTCCCTTCAACTCAGCCACAAGCCACACCTCAGCATCAACAGCAGCTTTTCTTGAAGCAGCAGCTTCTGCAACAGCAGCAGCAGCAACAACAGGCTGCCTATTACCAGCAGCAGCAGATGATGCAAGCTCAGCAGGTGGGTGTGCACAGCCATTTTTGTAGCCTGCTTACTGTGCTAGAGGCCTGCAAGGCTGTATCTTTGCATTTGTGGCAAGTCCCCTGGTTTTTGCGGGGATAGGTGCAGTTTTTAGGCATTTTCCAATGCATCTCCAGTTATCTAGTGAGATTTTTTTGCTACACAAGGCTGGCATTTTTAACTGTTAGTGTGGAAGGCCTTGAGGTAGTTTTGTCATGTAGAAACATAAAATAAGTGGTGCTGGTTAAGATTTTGCAGCTCCAGGTGTTCCTGGGTCTTGAGGTCAATGCTGAATTGATGAGCAGAGGGGTACAATTTGTCTTCTACTCTCTGTGATACCGGAAGCCTGGCATGCCTCTTCAATGGAAAGATTCAGGTCTATTTTTGTGGTAGACTGCGGTGAGAAGGAGGCCTGTGAACACATGATGTGTTAGCCAGGGTGTGTCTAGATGACAGACTTGTGTGCTTAACTGAGGTGTTTATAGCAGCACAGATCTCTGCTAAAGCATATTGAACGATGGAAGCAAAGGGACGCTAAATTTTCCTACCCTGGGGAAAGGTTTAGAATGGATAAAAATGGAGAAGGGAGTTTGGGACCACAGGGCAGTCTGTGCTGTGGGAGCCGCGTATGGGCAGGTGTAACACAGAAGGATCTAACGTTAGACCAGAAGGCTGTTTTCCACCACTCCTTTGCAGATGGTCTCCAAGCCATCGTAGCCTGTTACTGCTTTGCCACTTGCAGTGGCTGTAACCATTCCTGTGGCCGGCCCCAAATTCTAGTGGTGGTACTCCAGTTCCCAGCTGTGGAACAAGTGGCTCAACAGCTGGTTGTTTCCCAGTTCCCAGTGATGCAGCAAGGAGCACCAGCACAGCAGCAGCTGATGCAGAACTATTACCAGCAGCAGCAACAGCAGCAGCAGATGATGGCCCAGCAGGCAGCGATGCAACAGAAGACAGCAGTAGCAGCAGTTCAGCAAAAGCAACAAGCCCCAGCGCCACCGCAGCCACAGGCCCAGCAAAGTGCAGCCCAGCCAGCGCAGCCACAGGAGCAAGTGGTAAGAGACTTGAGGGAAGGAATGGGACAGCAGGATTTGGAGTGCTGGCAAGCGCTCTTCTGCCAGGTCCTGTGTGCCAGGAACACCCCAGCAGTGTGGCTGGCTTTTCGGACCCATGGAGCCCAGGTAGTAGGTCCTCTAGGGCCTGCTGGCCCCTAGTGCGTTATTACTGAGTCGCAGACGCGGGCACTAACCTTGCTGCCTCAGAGAGGTGTGCAATTGTTTGGACTGCTCTTTCCAAGGGGAGGTTGGACTCTGGAGTTGTGCTCTGGGTCCATAGAAAGAAGATGAGTAGCAGATGGAAAGGTATAAGTAACTGCTTAATGCAGCTTCTCTCTATCCCTCCCCATCACGTTGCCTTAGAAGGCATGTGATAAACTTTTAAAAATTGTTTGTACTTAATGCATCAGGATGGGCACCCGGCAACAGAACTACTTTGTGTTGCTGCTTGTTTGGAAAACTTCCATCTTGTATTCAGGGCTCTGATGCAGAGGAAGATGCAAGCAGCCTTCCGGATTGTTTCTGGTGTTGGGATAACTTTTTTCCTTTAATGGATGCTACGGAAAGGTGACTTTTCAAAGCACCGTATCTAAAACTAAATAAATAAATCATCCCCTTTACTAATCATCTGAACTTGCATCCCAAATAAATGCTCTTTACTTAATGGAAAATATGGCTGTCTGCACGGGGAAATAGCCAGCTGTCCGCAGTGTTACAGGCAGGGGAGGTGTGCCAGAGGGCAGGATCCCCGTTGCCAAAGTGTCTCTGCAGTACATATGGGAGGAAGCCATGCCTTTTGCTTTCATTCCTGTGCAATCCCATCCGCCCTTGCTTGTTTTGGGAGGGCAAAGGGATGTCCCTAACTCTAACTGCATGTTGGAAAGGAAGCATGTGCAGGCACCAGGCAAGAGGAAGCTGCCCTTTACTTTGCTGTGCCAGGTTGCACGTGTACGAAGCAAACAGTATGTGATAACAGACTGCTCCAAGTACACGGCGTTTGAGTCTAAACTAAGGGTCAGTTTGTGTTTGCTTGTTCATGACTTGCCAGTTATCAGGACCTAATTCATCTCTTGAGCATGCTTCCTTTGAAGTGAGATCAGGAATTAATTTGACTAATAAACTCCATAAGCCAGTAACCCGAGCAATGCTGGGGAAGCATTGTTTGTTTTACTCTGTGTCTCAAGGCTCTGTCATATTCACCTGCTTTGCTTTTATCTTAATTTTCAGCACTAAGCTGGTTGTTAGGGTAAGTGACAAGCTTGGAGTTGTAGTGTTCCTAGTCTTGTTATTGTTTTGCTGAATGACCTGGGGCAAGTCAGTTTTGAAATTGGTGGGAGATTTTCAGTACATGTGGACAGGTTTTGGGTGAGGCCCATTATTACCCTGTTCCTTTTAGAGGAGAAATGCTTGAAATGTAGTGTTGAAGTGCATCTCTAAAGAGCTTTCGTGTGATTCACTAACACAAAACCAGTCTTAGTATTATTAAATCAACTAGATTGAAAATTAGCCTTATCCCCCAGAAGGCTGATCAGAATGGACACATCTGGACACTTTTCCACTCAGAAAAGTGGTGGTTGGCTCATTTAAAACATGGTAGTGAGACATGGTCTCTGCAGAGCAGAGTCTCCCAAGCAGAAGATACCAAACTGGGACCCATCAAAATCTTTTCACGTTGCGAGACTTCAGCTTAATAAGCTCTGCATTCATTTCTGTGGTGATTTTGGCACTGCTCTTTTATTTCTCAGCACCAAACGTGTTGTTCTGCGGTGACCTATATAGTGAGGTGTGAGGTGGGTGCATCAGAAGCAGTCAGGTCAGTTTGCTTTTCAGCCACAGTGAATTAGTCTGCCTGAAAATGCCAGATGAAAAGCAAGACAGCTAATCACTTGTTTGCCTTGTCCCACTGTAGTTAAGCACCACACTGGGGGTGTAACTCTTTTTCTTGTTGCCCTCTTAGGCCTTTCCAAGTCTTTCATCTTTCTTCCTTGGTTGAAAATGGCCTGCGATGATACAGGGAGGGGAACAGGGAGCTAGTGCCCAGGCAGTGGAGGTGGCATGCACAGCTTTCTGCTCTTTACATTCTAGTTTTCCTGCTTTAAATCCAACCATGATATCTTGCTGACAGACAGATTTTGAAAAATCACATGATTAGAAGTGATGCTGTTGTTTATCACTGCAAGACAGTATTTCAAGTATTTATGGGTTTGTGAGTTTAACAGAAGACTGAGGTAATGGGAAAATAAGATCAGTTAGAGGAAACACCTTGAAGTTTCCAGAGGGTTTGTAGCTAGGCTATCTTGACTTACACCTAAACCAAACGTACCTGTTTTTCTCTTCCAGATTTTAATGGCGAATGTTACTCCTGTGGTCCTTGCTTTTTTTTTTGCCTAAGAGAAAGCTAAGAAAGCTGCTTGCACAAGATTTCTGCAGAAGACACGTACTCCTTGAGGGATTTGACCCCAATCACACATTATGCACTGGAAGACGTGCTGCTCTTCTCCTTACCCCCACTCCTTGTGTCCCTATGACAAGACTCCTGCACACTATGATCTAATTCTTTTCTTAACTCTGCCTTGGATGTCAGCCTCTTGACCCAGAAGCAAGTTTCTGAGACCAGCTAGCCTTTAACAACAAGCGCTAATAGAGGCTTTGCCTCCAGAGCTGCACCATAGAAAGGAGAGAAAGCTTCTGCTTGTGCACTTGTAGTAATCCTGAAATACTATAGATCAGCGAATTCCCTCCTGCCCCTGATGCTTTTGTTTGTTTGTTTTTTCCTCCAGACTATCCCAAATCCATGATTTAAAGGTCAGATCCTCCAGCATATAGCTGATTTTCATCATGGCTGTTGTTCACGAATGAGGACAAACTATTTTACTTTCTCTTCTAGATGCAGGCACAAATGAGGCAACAGCAAAAACCTCAAACCACACCCCCCACAGCAGTGCAAGGTCAGAAACTGGGCTCTCTCACCCCTCCGTCCTCCCCCAAAACGCAGCGTGCGGGACACAGGAGGATTCTGAGCGACGTGACCCACAGTGCGGTTTTTGGAGTTCCAGCCAGCAAGTCTACCCAGCTCCTGCAGGCAGCTGCTGCCGAAGCCAGTCTCAACAAGTCCAAGTAGGTGGCTGGTCACTTGGTGTCAAAGGGTATGGAGGGAGCGGGTGGATGAGACTCTTCAGAGATTTCCTCGGCAAAGCTCTGAGATGAAGGTAGGCAGCAAACTCTGAGGTCTAAATGAGTCTTTGCCTTCCCAAGACCACAGTTTAGGGCTTGGCAGAAAGTTACCAAAGAACTTCCCCAAGGGCAGAAGTCCTCCTGAGTGCTGCTGTGCCCCGCAAAAGCTAAGCAAACAGGACCTTCCTCTGGATTATAAAAGCTAGTGTCATTTCAGCTGTTCCACCAGTAGCCCTGGTACGTGCCTCACGCTTGCTGTTTAGCATCAGCACTTCCCCAGGAATACTTGCTAGCTCACTTTTATAGTGTCTGCAGGCAGCAAGCCTCCATGTAGGCACTGCAGAAAATTGTTTCAAATGGGATGCTTATGATGCTTGTTTTAATCCCTGACACCAGGATGCTCAACCAGATTAAGAGTGGATAAGGCTAACTGGTCCCAGGTTTCTGGGTATGCCAGTACGATAACTTGTGCGAAGTGTTTTAAGTAGGAAGTAATTATAATACAGTAGTTTGAACCAGCTCATAGTGCTGGCCAGAGGATTTCAGATGAGTAATTAATGACTGTTGTTTGGTTGGGATGGTTACATCCAGATCTGCTTCCACCACTCCCTCGGGTTCCCCAAGGACCTCACAGCAGAATGTCTATAACCCACCCGATGTCTCCACGTGGAATCCATTTGATGATGATAACTTCTCCAAACTCACAGCTGAGGAGCTGCTGAACAAGGACTTTGCAAAGCTTGGTGACGGTAGGTTCATGGGGATGGTTTAGTAACAGCCTGCTCTCAAAACAGAAGATAGCATGGAATGATGATGCTTTCAGTCATGTGCTGCTGGGGTGCTCTCATATTATCGTGGTCCTCTCTGCCTGGAAGAACTAAATCCTTCCAATTTCCCTTGTCAGTCCCTGTCCTCGTTGCTGAGCAATTGCAATTAAATGAGCATGATCCTTGAAGGGAGAGTTACTGCTTTTGAAGTGGCCTTGATCAGTTGGTTGTAGAAGCTACAGTTTAAACTCGTGCTTCATCTGCAAGTTGCAATTTGCAGGGAGGGGCTTAAGTCACATACTGAAATAGTGTCCTAAAAAAATCTAGGTAAGCAACCTACCTTCAGAATGGAAGTTTTTCCCCTAAATCTGTGTATGGCATTTCAGGGAAGGCTCCAGAGAAGATGGGCAGTTCCACAGAGAACTTGATTCCAGGTTTCCAGCCGGCTTCATCTACAACCCAGGCAGATGCATTTGGTGGCTCTTCCTTCACTGCTGGATCGGGTGAGTTTGTGAATATGTCCTACAGAATGATGCCCTGGACAGTGCTGCAGAAAAATGGCACCTCTTTGTCATAGCCTATTTGAAAGGAAAGTAAAACTGATAAAAATTGAGCTGGGCCCTTGGCGCTGAGAACTGTAGGATAGGGTTGGTGCTTTGGTAAAGAAGGGAAGGTAGGAACGGCACATGTACTTGTCACAATTGAGTAGCAGAGGCAGGAGGCACTGTCTATACGCAGAGGTGAGGCTTTTGGTGAGGGAAGAAGCTCAGTGAGCCCCTTAAGTTCACAAGAAAGCTTCTTAACATGTTGAAGTTCCATGCAGCTCATAATTAGAAGTAAAATATGTAGTATGCAATAAGGCAGTCGGGCTCAGAGACATTAGTCAGACGTGCTGGAGGATATTTCTTGCCTGCAGTTGTTAGGCTGAGCAGGGATAATAATGTGTCTGCTGCAGAACGAGGAGAATAGCAGAGAGAGGAGTAAGCAGGGAAAATCCTCAGAGGAGAGAACAGTTAGTCTCATAGTTGACATGTTAAATGGTGGAGGCAAGAGGTTTTGCACTGTCTGGGTCCAGAGGCCAGGAATCCTTGGCTGGTCTAAGGTTCTGCAGAGGCCTCTACATGTGTGACCTTGTCTGGAGTCTCCTTTGGTACTTGGGTACCAAGGGTTTGCCATGAGCAGCCCCTTCTATGCCAAAAAAATCCTCAGCGAGTGTCGCTGCTTGTTTCTAGTTCTTCAGCATCCGTTCTTGCTGAATGCAGCAAAGACCTGCTGAGCACAGTATTGGAAAACTGCTTCCAGGAGCCCTAAATGCAAGTAATCCTCTCCCCCGTCTTGTGCCGCCGTTGTCACTGGTGACAAATGCAACTGTTTGACGCTTCCCCACAGAAGCGCACCAACCCTTGGAGAGGAGTCCTGGGAAGAGATTGAAGAATCCTTTGTGGGGCAAGATGTGACAAATCCATTTATGCTTATTTCTGATTATAAAAGGAGATTTAGAGCAGCTTATAACTGAGCTCTATTGTTAGCTCTTACCTGAGAATTAAGGAGGTGAAGTCCATGATGCAAGAGTGCTCTAAGGGGGTTGCTTTCAGAGTTTGCCCAGCTGTTCAGTGCCCTGTGAACAGTTTGTGATGCCCCATCAGCCTTTGTGGAGGGGTGTTGAGTATCAGCAGCTCTAGATTCAGTTGTAATGTACCTTCTGCAAAGCCTGAGAAGCATCTGCATGTTCTGGGCTTTCTGGACACTGTAGCATGTTCAGTTCTTTTAGTAGTTGTCTTTAAAGTGTGCCCCTTGACTCTCCCGTCCTGTGGTTTGGCATGGGAAGGTGTCTTGGAAATTCTCTGGGTGCTGGCAGTGGGCTGGGCACTTCTAGCCCTTTTGTTTTTCTTTCCTCATAGATAGGAGCCTGTCTGATGCAAGATGCTGTATCTTTTATTTCATACAAAGAGGCCCAACATGGGGGCTGGCCTGCTGTGTGGCCTTTGTGATGGCATTTCACCTTTTGTACTGCTGTAAAGTGAGATAATAGTATTTCCCTTTCCGGGAATGTTTTGAGATCTGTGGGTTAAACTGTTGGAGAGCTATGTGGTAATAGTTCTTTGGTTTCGGATTTTTTTTTTTCTTTTCACTAGTAACATAAACTTGTCCTGAGTCTGCATGTGAGTGGTGTTCTTGTCAGGCCATAGCATGGAGACTGTAATATTGAGCTGTGCCTGTGCTGAGATTTTGCTCGATGCTTTCAGCTTTTCTCTCTTCTCTGTTTCACTCTGCCTCTTCTCTTCCTGGTTACCAGCTGAAAAAACGAAAGACATTCTGAGTTTGGACACTAGCCCTCCTCTTCTGACTGTGCCTGATCCTTTCATTCCTCTCCCATTATCCGACACACCAGGTAACTGGAACTAAGTTTATGGAGGGGGGCAGGTGGTTCTTGTTTGTTTTTGTACCCTTAATGTTTCAGTTCTATTTCTAGGCACACCTGAAATCCTGGGCCTCAGTCACTGGTGCTGGGCACTGACAAGCTCTGCTGAACTCAGTGGTAGTAATGATGTGTAGCGCTTTTTGCCATTGAATATCCGTGTGGCGGTGGGAGCGGTGCTGAGCACAAGAGCCCTTAGTCTTCATGGCAGACCCTAGGTTTATCGTATTGTTTCTAATGCCAACAATGTAGGTGTCTTTAAAGGTTCGGTATTCAAAGCCAAAAATAATCACTGGGTAATTACATCTTCTGACCTAAGCCATTTTCAAATTGGTCTCCAACTTTGAAATTAGATTTTATTATTGTTACTCTTTCTTTCCCCTAACAGTCAGTGTTTCTTTGGCTTCCAAAGTCTATTGCAAATGTGTGCTTTGTGTCAAGCACAAGTTAGTATGTAACCTTTTCTGATTTGGCAAAATTTTCTAGTGCAGTTGGTAGCTATTTCCATTTACTTTGCAATACTGCTTAAGTCTTTCCTGTGTGCACATTTCTGACTGCAGCAGCCAACACTTTTTAGCACAAGATTATGTAAGTGCTTAGGAGCTTATTTGCAAATCAGTGGGATTTGGAATATGGAAATGTTTTTATCTTGGAGTTTCTCTAAGCCCTCTGTGAATGTGTGTGATAGGTCCCTTGTCAGCTAGCCCCAGAGGACAAGTGCTTGTTACAGCTCTCACCCTTGACCTTAGCTCAAGCTGTGGATCACTGGTGGTTTGACAGTAGAGGACCCAAGCTTCAAAACAAGGTGCTTATAAAGATAGTATCTCTCCATAGAAAGTTAGGCAATTGAAGGAGGGGAAGGGGGAAAAAAAATAATCTATTTTTTTCCATAACTGTGTGGAACTTCCTTCCTTCTGGTTGATGCTCAAAGAGCATGAGAAATATGTTTTGGTTCAAAAGGGGTTTTACTCATGAATGCTGCAGTTTGAGAAAAGAAGCAGAACTTACAGGCTTTCTCCCCTATGTGAGCGCTTGCCAGGAGCTGACCTGCCGATCTATAATTTGAAAAGAACCTACAGAAGGCAGATGACTACACGTTTCTCTTCTGCACTATTTAATTCTCTGCCACTGTGCTCATCGCATACAGTTGCACACCAAGACGGTTGTTTTCCTTATTGCCTATTGCATTTTGATGTAGCACAACCGTACGAAGCAGCAGTTGCAGCCTTAGCTGCGGGAGCTCTGAAATTCTTTATAGTACAGAAGCCACTGCGGAGCAATTGCCTTTCAACCCTGCCCTTGGGTGCAGATAATCAGAGCAGCAGTTGTCTGTAGCTTTTGCGGTGCCAGGTTGCTCATCCCACAAATCTGTCCTTGACCAGTTGTGTATCTTTGCAGGCAGGTGCTAAACCTTCTTTCACTAATCTCTCTGCCTGCATGTGGCTGGTCCTGTTGAGTTCAGTGGAACCCCTTCCATGGAGGCAAAGCAGGGGGCAAGGGCATGCAGGAGATCTGGCTTCCTGCAGGTTCCTGCAAAGACATGTCTGATGTTTTTTATTTTTTGTTTTCTTAACATAAAGCTTTGAGACCAGGGGGCTTGTGAGTGTTTTCAAGGACCAGAGCTACAGACTTATCCTTAGCTTTGAAACTGAGAGGGGTTGTCTGTGCTTGTAAATTCAACAGAGAAGATACAAATCCTGGATTGGGACTCAGGTTTTCAGTCTACGTGTCTATCATGCAGAACAGTCTCGTCTTTGTTCTTCTGTGTCTGTGTTACCTGTGCAGAAACCTCTTGACAGCAAGTAGAGATGTCTTGGATGAGAGGGATGTGCTGACCTGCATGTGAAAGGCATTCTTTCAGGTGTGGCTTTTGGGTCAGCAGAGCTGGGGTTGGCTTTAGTCTTTTAGTGTATCAGCATCTCCAATCTGCCTTAGTTTTATGCAGAAGCAGCTCAATTCCTCTGGATGTTTGTTAAATATTTGCTTTGTTTGGAATATTTTTATTTCTGAGAACCTTGATAGTGAATCTCATTGCTTTGAAAACACTTTATGTCTGTCTTTTTATAGACTGGGAGCACGCATGGCCCTTTCAGAAGTAAAAGCGAGAGCCTCTACCCCTTGGTTACAAGAGCAGTGTTGTTCAGAAAGGCTTTCAGTACAGGCATAAGTGAGGCTTTTATGTGGTATTTTCCCTATTTGTCATACAGAGCCAGTTTTGTCGGTTTTCTGTGCTCCAAACCTGCAACAGCTGAGGGTCTGGCAGAGAGCTCAGCTTTTTTTGCTTAAGCCACAAACTTGCTCCCTTTGCTGGCACCTGAGGGTGCAGGTGGCATCACTTGAATGTTGGCAAGAGACCTCCTTGGGCTTTCCCACCTTTCCTCTGTGAGCTCAGAAGGACAGGTGAGCCTTTCTATCACAGGTTCCTGAGAAACAAGTAAATGATGCTTAACACATGACAAATAGCCGTAGGGTGCCTCCCCATATGACATAAATATGTTCAAATGGAGGAGTGCACTGCTGTGGAGCTACAACCAGCAGATGTGGCTTGAAGTGTGACTGCTCGCTTGTAGGTTTAGCAAGATCACACTTTTGGTTCTGTGTAGTCAGTTAAATGTGTACAGTAAAGACAAACCCTGGACAGTAGGTTCTGGCAGACTATCCTGTTTGCATGGATCAGGGCGGTGGAGATGTGTAATATCCTAGTGGAGGATGTTTTTCATTTGTTGCAGGTAACAAGCTTCTCAGTAAGTGCTTCAAGAGAGGAGGTAACGTAGCACCCTATAGGAGGCAGAAATACCAGCTCTGGACAATAATCACATGGAAGGAGAATGGTTTTCAGTATATTCCTCCTTCTCCAGTGTGTAATGGCTGCAATTCTTAATGGAATTGTAACTAGTAAGAGGAGCTGGCAAGAGGGATGTAAAAATATGGCAAAACATCTGTTAAAATAGGGGAGAATGTAATATTCATGCTGAAAACATTTTTCCTTGTGCATGTGCAGGAAAGAGAGCCAAATTCTTCTTAATAAACTTATTGCAGGCTTCACTGCTGATTAATCACAATGGAGTATTTGATCAGAATGGAGTATTTGATCAGAATGGTGATTTTTCTCCGTGTGGCTACCTAATGTCTATCAGTATGAATTTAGCTTGTATGCGTAGGGGAGGCTAAATTTTGCACAAGGTATTCTGGAGACCTGAAATTAAATTGAGTTATGAAGCTTCAAGACAGACCTTTCCCTCTGTCATTGAGGCTTCACCCTGTGAACAGTCCCAAGTCTAGGGTTTTTAAACCTGCTTTGCAGAAGCATTTAATGAGAGATTTGACCCAGAGCATGTGAATACTTCTGCTTTAGGCCGTGTTCCTTATTAACTACTGGAATTGAAATGCGTAAGTGCTGTCTTGATGTAGTTACCTGCACTCTTCTGTCCTCTGTTAGTGTCAGGAAAGGTTTTAGATATATCCTCTTTAGCCTAGAAACATCTGCTCAGATAAACAAGTTTTTGAGTAAATAACAGGTGAGCCCAGTGAATTGCACTCTGAGATACTGCTTTCCAATCGTTTGAGGGTTGGTTGCTTTGAGGTGGGAGGGGGGTGTCTCCTACTTGCTCTAGTTCCAGGTAAATGTTCTTCTCCCAGATCCCCTGTGCTATCAGCAGTCCTGGCTTATCCTCTCCTCTCTGCAGAAGAAAGAGATGAGGTGGTGGGTGTGGGTCCTTGGCAGCAGAGCAAGCAAGGAGAAGCTGTTGAGCAGCAGCACTGAGGTGTGAGAGCTGAGAAAAAGAAGTTCTGCTCCTCCCTGTTGCTGGGTGGAGGACGAACTCCCCATGCTGCAGATTGCACTGCGCCGATTCATGTGTGTGCAGGGTGATGGTACTGGTGGCCTCTCCCTGTCAGTACCGAGAATAATGACATCTTTGCACAACTCGTCGATCCTTTTTACCCCTTTTCAAAATAGAATGGATCATTCTTTGTAAATTTACACGACCACTTACTCCCTACAATAATTCAGCATCTTCACTGCGGCTGAGACACAAATTGTCTTTAGTGTAGTTAACTATTTGTTTGAAGAACAGCAACACCAAGCGGCCTCTGCAACATTGTCTTACCCATAACAGAAAGATAAGATAAGAGAAATTCCATGTCTGGCACAGCTAAGTAAACATGTAGACATAGCTGGGCAAGGAAACACAGGCCAAGAAAGCACACCTGTGTCATCTGGGCACATACTGGATTCTCATTTTTGATCAAAAGGCAAACAGCGTTGCTTGTTAAAGAATCACTGTCATGTTGGAGTTCTCTGAAGCTTTTAAATAGCACTTTAAGGATGATTTTTGCCTTTTTAGTTCCTTCAAATACTAACAGAGTTGTGTGTTTTTATGGTAGCCCGAGAGGATGCTTATCAGGGCAAAGGAAGTAGATATCTTGCAGTGCAATTTCAGAACAAAATGTGTCCTCACCCTTGACCTGTTTCTAGAGCTAGCTATCAAAAATATGTGGACCTGATAACCATAAAAAAAACATAATTGGCTTCAAAAATAGGAGTTTTAAGCAAAACTGGATTTTTCTCTTGGTGTTCTCATGTGTGGCCTTCAGGAACTGGGTTTCCAAGCTTTCTCTGCAGGATACTAAGGCAGAGTTGCGAGCTTGAGGTGAGTTTCAGGCTAGCGCAACATTTGAACTGGAAATGGGAAAGAATCGTGAAGTGTTGAGGTCTGGTTGCTGAAGCTGGCAGTTTCTAGCACCCATAAACATGAGCTAGGACTCAAACCATGGGCATCCTTGTCAAAACACATGAGTTCAGCTGCTTTAAGAGGGCCACTATTACTAATGTAGGAGGGCTCTTTTTTGGGGGGGGAACAAAATACTTGATGAAAAGTTTTTAATCGGCATAACTCTCTCTACACCAGGCCCATAAATTCTGAGAAGACAGCTGTATGCCCACCTATGTCAGAGTTTTTATAACAACTGTA